TCACCACCATCACCACCATCACCACCATCATCACCATCACCACCATCTTCATCACCATCACCATCTTCATCATCACCACCATCACCATCACCACCATCACCACCAACACCACCATCATCTCTATCATCACCATCACCACCATCACCACCATCATCACCATCACCACCATCACCACCATCATCACCATCACCACCATCTTCACCATCATCGCCATCATCACCATCACCACCATCTTCACCATCATCATCATCACCATCACTACCATCACCGCCATCATCACCATCACCACCATCATCACCATCACCACCATCTTCACCATCATCATCACCACCATCACCACCATCATCACCATCACCACTATCTTCACCAGTATCACCATCACCACTATCTTCACCATCATCATCACCACTATCACCATCACTACTCCCATCATCACTATCATTGCCATCATCACCATCACCACCATCTTCATTGTCATCGCTATCACTGCCATCGTCACCGCCATCTTCACCATCACCACCATTGTCACCATCATCATTACCAGTACCATTGCCACCATTTTCGACATCACCATATATCAGCTTTATCCCCGTTATCCCCATCCTCACTATTATCGCCATCACCACAGTCATCATGGCTATCATTATGAACAGCAGCAGCGGCATATTGCTACCATAAACATCATCACATCATCGCCGTCCTTTCCACCAGCTTCCTCCTCCTTCTTGCCGTATGCACAGGCGAAGGATCAGCATGTGTGCTTCAGAATCACATAGCTACCTCTTGACCACGCTAAGGGAATGTGTGGATACAGTTTGAGAGGGTACTGAGCAGATAGCACCCTTCCTATGGTTCTCCACTAAACAGCCCAGCCTCGCAACGCTCCCCCTGCCACTGAGATCTTTGGTGGTTCTTAGACGTTAGTTAGCAGAGACTCCGGTTGGTGAGACTGACGGTGGTTTCTGCAGTATAGCTTGGCTTTAAACCCACTGGCAAACTGAATAGTGATTTTGGAGGAGTAGGCTATTTACCCAGAAGTCTAAAGCAAGTGCCCCAAAGTGAGCACAGGTATTTGGGGGCCACAGGCCAAAGTGAGCCTTGAGAGCTACAGCATCAAAGCAAATGGTATCCAACTGCTGTTTCCTGAAGGCAGCCATGATGGTTGAGAGGGCACCGCAAACACCACACAGCACAGAGAAAATGCATCACCGTGGCTCTTGAGGGAACAGATACAAATGGAGGGTCGCTGTTGGTGGAAGGCTGCTGTTCGTTCCCAGCTGCCCAGACCACGAAATAATCACGCAGAAACTGCATTATCTGCAATACTGTTCAGCCAATAGCTTAAGCATGTTTTTGGCTTACTCATATCTTAGATTAACTCATTTCTATCAGTCTGCATTGTTATATGACTGTGGCTTATTGGGTAAAGTTCCATTTGGTGTCTATCTCCGGCAGAGCTACATGGCTTCTCACTGACTCAACCTACTCTCTCCTCCTCCTTTCTGCTTGGAACTCCCACCTTGCTCTAGTCTGCTAAGCCTCTGGCCAAAACAGATTTACTCGTTAACCAATAAAAGCAACACATAGACAGAAGAACTTCCCACACCAGGTGGTCGTGATACTCATATCAACTCCACTGTTTCTTGTGTGGGGGCCAGAGCGGAATCATTCAGGAAAATGGCCCTTTGCCACAAAAGATGGGGGTGGGGTAGTCGGGACATGTGCTCTGGCCTTGCCAATTTGGAATCACTCATGAAATAGTCTCCCCTGATGATCGTATTTAGCAGGGAAGTAACATCTGCTTGTGTGATGGTCTCTGGGAGGCTGCCAGCAACCTCTGAACACTGCAGTCTGCCACATGGGAACATGTGCCCTAACACCCCAGATCCATCAGATGTGACGAGCTGCAGTCTGGGGAGTGGGTGTTAGAATTGGGTGCCGGGGTAGAGACAGGACAAGGCTTGTGCGTCCGAAAGACATCAGCCCTTGGAGGAAGATGCTTTCCTCTGGAGGTTCCCCAAGCTGTCTTGATCTTCTTTTCAGGTCCCATGTTTGCCAACATCAGGCAAGAGCCAGGGATGTATACCTTGCAGATCACTCTGGCTGGCCAGTAGAGGCAACTGGGGATATTCTTTGTTTCTGGGAAGGCTGTGACAGATGAAGTCCAGAAGGAATGTGACCTAGGGTGCAATCAGAGGTGGGAGCTAGTACCTACCTTTCCCCCTCTGCCCTGTACCTAGAGGGGGCTGGCAGAGACATCCTGAGCTTGGCCATCTGCAGGGCCAGCAAATGTTTTTTAGTCTCTGGCTATCCTGCTGCTGAAGTGGCCCTGCCCTTCTCCCGGCATTCTGTCAGCCCCATGGTCCTGTCCACTGTCCTTTACTGGGGAGAGGGACAGGGCTCCGAGGCTGCATGACAGGACCTCAGCCTATCCTGATTCTTTCACTAGTAGGAACTAATGTTGCAAGCAAGGAATGATGGGAAGGACTCTAGGGACAGGAGACAATCCTGAGGAGATTGCCTTCAGGGTCTGCGGTTGGGAGACCCATCTTCTAAAAGTTGTAGGACTTGCCAGGCCAGCCCCTCTCCCATGCTCCTGCCTCTAGAATGGAGAAACAGAACATTTGTACCAGGCAAGCGGAAGGGGGCAGGGCCTGGGAATCTCGGCAGAGTTACTTGAATTCAGATAAAAGCAGCAGACTGAGGGCACCACTGCCCATGGCTAGGTCCCTGCTGAGATGCTGACTGTGGGGAAGAGGTCATGGTTGGGGTTTCCCTCTGTGGGCCCAGGTGAGAACAGTCTTGGTGCTTCAGACAAGCACCCAAGCACCTGTCCATTGTCCTTCAGTCCGTCCATCCCGTCCCCGTCCCCCTCAACCCCCAGCCCCAGCCCCGCCCCTCCTGCTCTGACTCCGCCTCTGTCTCCTCCCTCCAGGTCTGGCTGTGCATCAGATCATCACCATCACCGTCTCCCTCATCATGGTCATCGCTGCACTCATCACAACTCTTGTCTTAAAAAATTGGTAAGGCCCAGGAGTGGGGGGGGTGTGGGGGGCCCGGGGGGGGGGGCTGCACGGAGAGCCCCCAATTTTTAAGACCGTGCCTAGAGACTCGGACTTTCACTCGGTTGGCAGAACGCTCGCCCAGCTTGCATGAAACTCTGGCTTCCATCCCAGCTGTTCACACACTGAGTGCGTTGGTCCAGCACCCAGGAAGTGGAGGCAAGAGGATCAGAAGTTCCAGGTCATCCTCAGCTACACAGCCTATGATACACATACCCTATCAAATAAGACATTGTGTCCTGAGTGGCAGCCTACAGGTTGCATTCCCGTTGGAGTAGGAGGTCCCAGGTGACTACAGCCACAGGTACCATGACCACCACTCCACTGGCTTCAGCCGGGTCCATTTCCTAGTGTTGCCTTCAGTGTGGCTCCCGTGCAAGAGGTGGGAGGCTCAGCCTTCATGACATGGTTTCCCAGGATATATGGTCCTCCCGTCACCCAGCTGTCTGGACCCATGTGCATCTGTGTGTGTTGCCTGCTGGGGTGCAGTCCATGCCATACCTCTGAAAGACAGGGAAGCAGCAGCAGGATGTTCAGACCCCTCCTGGCCCCCTGCCCTCCACAGAGGTCAAGGCAGCTTACCCAGCCAGCCTCCCCGTCCCCTTGTCCCCTTCAGCAGCAGTTCTCTGCTAATCTAGGTGGTTAACTTGCTGCAGGTGCTTTTCCTTCCCTGTCCCCTCCTGTAAAGCGGGCTGCTTTGAGGCTGGCCTTGTTGGGTGTGTACATCTGCCATAGCCCAAGAAGCTGAGGGGACTGCTAGGGTTCCTTGCTGCCTACGCACCTGAAGTCACGTGGAAAGGCATTTATCTAGTGCTGTGAGCTTCGACGCTCAATCCCACCAGCAGAGCAGTATGCCCCTATGATTCCCAGACATACGTGATTGACAAGTAGGGTTCTAGCAACTGGACAGACCCAGAAATGGGGGGAAGCCAAAGGTAGGTAGCAAAGGGGAGCACACAGCCCAGGACCAACCCCATTCTACTGGCCTCGCACCTGCTACGCAGGTCCCTGTGGTCCAGGACACATGGATAGCAATGCAGCTCCCACAGAGCCCCTAGAGCAGAAGATGGGGGTCACCCCAGGTATGCACACATGTGGGACAGTGCAGCATCATGGCTTTCTCGGGAGGAGAGAAGACTTGTGACCCCTTTCCATGACAGGCCACCCCTCCCTCTGGGAGAGCAGCCAGGGATGGGTGAGGAGGGCCAGCAGGGCTCAGCCTCTCTCTTCTGCTGAGGGGTCTTCTGCCTCCTGCTCACTCCCCCACCCCCACCCGGGGACATGGCAAGGAGTGAAGTGGCACCCACGGAAGACAGGACACTTGCTTCAGTGTCCCCTCACATTCCACGTGACATTCCTGCACCGATGAGAGTGGGGTCCCTGGTTCATGCTCCAGGGCCACTGGAAGTCCCCCACAGTCAGAGCCGTTGGGAGTGAGGCAGAGCTCAGGGGACATGAGAGCATCCCTTTGCCAGACCCCTGCAGGGTCTAGGACGAGCCACTGTTTCCAGTAACAGCCAGGGGCTTCCTCCCTCTAATCAGTTCATCCAACAGCCTTGCACCCCAGGCTATCCCCAGAAGCCCCTTCCACCAGCCCAGGCTATCCCCAGAGGCCCCTTCTACCAGCCCAGGCTTTCCCACAGTGGCAGTGAGCACTATCAACCTCTCCATTCCCTCGGAGGGAAGCCCCTCAGTCTAGCTAACATTCTTTTGGCAAACAAGGTCCCGGAACCTCACTACTCACTCACTCACCTCCAAGCTCTCCTGTGATAATGGCCGCATTTAAAATTCAGATTTTATATTTAAAAAAAAGGGGGGGGAGCTGATTACTTGATTGTGGTTGATCTTTCTGAAGAGGCCGAGAATTACTATGTAATATAAATGATGCCTGGCAGTACCGCTTCACTGCCAGTGTGTGGGAGAGGTCTGCACATCGCTCCAGTGCCTGCCCACCCCCTCACACCTCTCCTCTCTCTCTCTCCTAGCTGTGCCCCAAGCGGGCACACTCGGAGGAACAGCCACCAGCGAAAGATGAACCAGCAGGAGGAAAGCTGTCAGAACTTAACGGACTTCACCCCGGCCCGGGTGCCCAGCAGCGTGGACATCTTCACAGCCTACAATGAGACGCTGCAGTGTTCCCACGAGTGTGTCAGGGCATCCGTGCCCGTGTATGCTGATGAGACACTGCACTCGACTGGGGAGTACAAGTCCACGTTCAACGGAAACCGGTGAGCTCTGTGCGATCCCGTCCCCAAGGCTCGAAACTCTCTGTGTGGCACTGTCATCTTGTCCTGCCAATCTGTGGGTCGCCCAGGGGCCCAGCACTTGCAGACAACTGATTTGTCAAAAACAATAGCAGTGAAGTAGAATCAACAGGTGTTTGCCACCCCTGGGAGGCACAACAGCAGCCATAGTAAAAAAACCTACCCAGACCCCAAGACAGCAGCAAAGCTATATGTATTCCCAGCCCCTCACTCCTATGCCTGGAGGCTGAATGTCTGCCCCAACCTCACCCCCCAGTCTCAGAGTTCAAAGCCAGACGATACTCACTGCCCTCTGGAGTATCAGGAGATTATGACAGGTCCCTCCCACAGTCGGTGTTTCTGAGACTCTTGTCAATAAGATGTCAGCAGCCAGCTCAGAAAAATAGCAAATACCAGGCAGACTCCAGACTGGAGTCTCTTATTAAATGCTCTTTTATTATTCATGGATAATCTCTCAAAGAAGACACACTTCTCCAACCATCCCCGGGAATGGTCAAGAAACCCCTGAGTCAGCTGCCCAAGGTTTGTCCAGCATTAAATTAAAATATCAATAAGCTATTTTTTAAGTGACTATGCACCCATGCATCATTTGTAAATTAAAAAAAAAGAAAAGAAGGAAAGAAATGAGGCAGTTAGCAGGCTGCTCGTATGCCTTGAAGGCCCTCTCCCCAATCCCCAGTCTCAGCAAGTGGGTGAGAGGGTCCCCTGCGACCTTGGCTGGGAGGTTAGCTCTGGGTCACCCTGCATCTCCCATCCTGTTTGCTGCTTTCCCTATAAGCAGAGGTGGCTTGGACACCCAGCTCTCCTGGCCACCAGAGTGACCACAGTTCATTGTTCCTGGGCTGCTGGCTGCAGTGAACCCATGCGCCACACCCATGCGCCACACCCATGTCCCCTTGTAGAGGTTGGGTGGCTGGCTGTCTCACACCCTGATACAGAGACAGGAAGGGTGACACATTGGTGCCTGCCACTGAGCTTGGGACACGATAGTTTTCTATTGGCTGTGATAAACAACCCTGAAAAATGCAGTTTGGGGTAGACAGGGGTGTATTCAGTTTATAATCCCAGGTTTCAGTCCATCCTAGCAGGGACTTCACAGTAGCAGGAGCGTATAGCCGCCAGCACAGCCACAGTCTGGAGCAGAGAGAAGGAACCGCAAGCCTACCTGCCGGCCTGTTTACTTCACTTTTATACAGTTCAGGGTCCCCGGCCTCGGGAATGGTACCACTCATGGTGATCCGAATTCTCTCAACATCAGTAACACACAGGCTCCCAGGCCAAACTGATCCCCACAATCCCTCATTGAGACTCTCTTCTAGGTGATTCTAAGTGTGTCGAATTGGTAGATAAAGCTAACCATCACAGTCACCTGGTTTCAGCGTCAAACTGTAAGGGGGCATTTTAGGAACTAAGTCTTGTCTTTTCTATCATGCGCAATACTGTGCATCCAGTCTCGCCTTTGGAAGCATAGACCCTGGCTCTGGGCTCGTCCCAAAGCCATCTGGAGATGGCACAAGAGTGAGGGATGACTGGTCACCCCACCTCCATACTTGAGACCCTCAGCCCTGTGGACCTTCAAGGCAATGATGATTCTTCTATCCTTCTATCTAGAGGCTGAGAAAGACCCATCTCCAGAGAACAGACTCCCCCTGCAGGCTGACCAGCTTGCCTGCCCTGTGCCAGCTCACACAGCTCCCATGGCTCACACAGCCTTGCTTTCTTCTCTGTTCTCCACAGATCCTCATCTGCAGATCGGCATCTCATCCCTGTGGCCTTTGTGTCTGAGAAATGGTTTGAAATCTCCTGCTGACTGGCCGAAGGCTTTTTACCTCCTGGGGGCAGGGCAGACGCCATGTGTCTGTTTCATGGTATGTATCTATCTTCCGGAGGCAGAGTGCCCTCTTTGTCTACTCGCCCACCACCTTCTCCCCTCACCTCTGCTTTGGGATGATCAGAAACCCCTCTCTAAGGCAGTGGGTTTTCCAGTGCATCCCCTGTGTGGATACTGGACCCTGGGTCTCTCTGGGCACGTCTATTAGACACACAGCCGGGACTTCTCAGGGAGGGAGTCGCTCCCAGGAACGCCTTGCAGCAGCAACACCGTCACAATGCCATGCCCTCCCTGTGCAGAACTGCGGGCTGGAATCGCCTTCAGAGACAAGCTCTGGGTACAGCATTCCCTTCCCTCAGCAGGAAGCTGCCAGGGCAGCAGCTAAGCAGACAGAGATCACACCCTCAGCACGCCACCGTGCTGGAGAGGGGGCTGGGGCGGGGGCAGTGGGGCAGGAGCAGAATTAAAATACAGTCTCGAAATATGAAAATAAGAGATAAGAAATAACATGATAAAGAGAGAAAGTGAAGAGTTGAGACATCTACTAATTTGAAGCTGGAGACTGGCACCCAAACAGGATGAATTCTTCACGCTCTGCTGCCTGGGAACATTCGGCTTGCTTTGGATGGTATTAACGTGGATGCTAGCATTAAATGGCTTCTGTGCTGAGTCTGTGAACAGTGGACTACGGAGTGTGGGACGGGGGAGTGCTTCTCCCAGGAGCTGCACAACCCACACGTCCGTCCCACTTACACATGCTGGGGGCACGGCCCAGGGTGTCGTCAGTTTGGCAGCCTTTCCTCTGTGATTCCAGGCTTGCTGGGGAACCTTCCCATTGGAGGAGGCCTGCTTGTTGGTTCCCGGCTGCTCAGCCCCGAAATAATCACACAGAAACCATATTATTTAAAACACTGCTTGACCCATTAGCTCTAGCTTCTTATTGGCTAACTCTTATGTATTAATTTAACCCATCTCTATTAATCTGTGTATCACCATATGACAGTAGCCTACCTGGTAAAGTTCCGGTGTCTGTCTCTGGTGGGGCTACATGACTTCTTCCTGACTCTGCCTCCTTTCTCCCAGCATTCAATTTAGTTTTCCCCACCTATATCTGTTCCCTGCTCAGGCCCAGGACAGTTTCGTTATTAATTAACTGTATTCACAGCATACAGAGGGGAATCTCACATCATCTCCCTCTGCCCAGTGTGCCAGAGCAGAGTGAGCCAGTCTACCCTTATCAAAGAGGCATCCAGTCATTTTCGTGAGATGGCAACCTTGTTTCTTAGATAGGATACAGTATTCGTCCTCTTACTCATTGCTCACCTTCTACGCTGGGGACTGAATGAAAAGGGCAGGAGACTGAGGGCTGGACATGGCTCAAGGGTTCCATACCCAACATTTGCCCATGAGGAAGCAAGGAGTAAGCTGCGGTCAGCATGGGAACGAATCGGTCAGTTCTTAATCCCAGCACTAATGAATCACAAGTTTGGTCCAAATCAAATCTCCAGCCCTCCGTCTCTGTCCCAAAGCCAACATGTTCCGCCAACGGGCAAGAGAATGTAATTAGATTAGACTAGAAATGAGCCTCCAACAGAGGCTTTCATGGAGCCCGCGTGGCAAGCACAGCCTTCTAGCAGCAGGACACGGAGCCTGGCACATCCTTAGAGCACAGTGCCATGGTCTGCCAATGTGTCTCATTCCATTAAGGCTGTGGACATCCCTCTTGAATGTGCCAGCTCGGCTAGTGTTGGGGAACAATGGAGTCCCTAGTTGCCTAGTAAAGCTTGGCAGGACCCAGGGTAGGGCAGGCACCACATCTTGTTATAGCTTTGAGAGTTCCTTAAAGATGGGCATGATGGCTAATACCTGCAATCAAGCAGTCAGGAGTCTGAGGCAGGGGAATCACTGAGAATTTGAAGACAGCCCAAGTACAGAGTTAGATCCTGTATCAATTAAAAAATAATAATAAAACAAAAAAAAATGGGTTAAACCATGATTCATTGACATGGGGATGCTGAGCCTCCCCACTCAGCCTCCACTTCTGGAAGAGCTGGGGACCCATAGGCCACATACCTTCTGCTCCTGGGGCAACTCTGTCATACAGATGGCCGTTAGAAAAGCCACTTTTCCCATACAGAAGTGCATTCACTCTCCCAGCAAGCCCATTCACAAAGAGGGAAACTGAGGCTGAGGAAAAGCAGACGACTTGACCATGGTGCTCTAGGCTGTCAGTGGTAAGTTTGATCACCCGAGGTTGTCTAGTTCCAGGATGTCACACTGCCTACCCTACCAATGGATCTGCTTTGCAAAGCCCTTGCAAGATCTGAGACCATGCCCTTCTTTATACCAAGTGCTTCTGTTCACCCCAAGCCAGCCCCAAGCAGTAGTCTGACTGAGGGTAGGATGGAGCTACAGGAGGACCGGTCCCAAGGGCTCAAGGGCTTGAGCTCTGAAGCCTTCTTGTAGGGAGCTGCAGCATGAACATTTCCAGGAATATGGAATTTGGGTGGCAGGACTGTGGTTTTATTTGTTCCTTGGTTTCAGAAAACCCTCTTGTCTTTCCCCTGGCATTCTCTCCCACAGTTTTGATTAGGTGTCTCGGTACACTGTTCTTGGGTGGGGTATAAGATGCAGCTGCCCCAGGAGACACTTGAGAATCACCCCATCCACGTGAGAACACCTTTTTCCAGACGATTACTGCCCCTCCCTGTGCATCACGGGAGCCTCTGGATTGGGTAGAACTAGGTGTTGCATATAACATGAGGGCAGAGATCCTTCTGTCTCTGCCTCTCAGGCATTGGGATTAAAGGTGTGTGCTACCACACCTTGACGTCACAGAGGTCAATCTATCTCTACCCCTTGAAGTCACAGTGGTCAATATGCCTCTGCCTCCCAGGCATTGGGATTAAAGGTGTGTACCACCACACCCAACTACTCTCTTTCTTCCTTTTTTTTTACATTAAGAACTTTAACTTTTAGCCTGCATATATTTTTAACACACTGTAAAATATTTAGAGGTTTTTTTCCTCTTTGAATCTCTCTTTACTGTATATCTCTCTTTTTCTGACCATATGAGCCTTTAATTTACAAAACAATACGGAAAGCCGTGGCTTTGACTGCTAGATCCTTAGCTTTCCAGCCTCTGTGGAGGTACTGGCTGTAGCCATTTTTGTTGCCACAACTCTATGGCATTTCAAGGTCCTTGCTAGCAAGTAAGCTGGAGCATTCTGCTCACAGACCACTCTCAGTCAGACTGCCGGCCTGAAAGAGTCAGAGTTTGCCCTGGCAGGACGGCCCAGAAAGCCGGCATTTTAAAGCAGCACAGCTTTTTTCCTGCTATGGCTGAAAATCAAAAAGCGTGCGTTCAGCTTTTCATCAACGTTTAAGTGTTTCGTGGCAGGACCTCTTAATGAGCTGCAGGGTTTTGCAGCTAAAGCTGAGTCAGGAAGCCTCTCTTAGACGAGAGCGCTTGCTTGCCTCAGAGTAGACCTGAGAAATTGCTGCTACCATACCAAGAAAACATGCTTTACTCTATTCTTTCCCAAGCTTTCTCAGGCTTTCTGTGGATTCAGTTATCCACGTCTGGGCGCCATTTGTAGTGAGGGGCTGCAGGCAGGCCTGCTTTTCATCCCACCCGGCTCCCACACGGCTAGCTTAGCCCCAGAAATAATAACACATAAGTTGTATTCATTTAAATACTGCCTGGCCCGTTATCTCTAGAGAGTTAGTTACTGACTAACTCTCATATCTTGATATTAACCCATTTTCTAATAATCTGTGTAGCACCACAAGGTGGTGGCTTACCAGAAAAGATTCAGCATATCTGACCTGGTGGCTGGCTCCATGGCTTCTACCTCACTTCCCTTCTTTCCAGCATTGTATTCTGTTTACTCCGCCTACCTAATTTTCTGTCCTATCAAGGGGCCAAGGCAGTCTCTTTATTGACCAATGAAAATAACACAATAGACAGATAACCCTCCTCCATCAGTTGCATCTCTGTGCAAAACAAACGAACTCTGTTGCCATGCCTGCCTTGCTTCACCTCCGGTGACTTTCTGTAGACCAGAACCAGGCGAGATGTGCAAAGAGCCTCATTAGTCTCTGATAAATGCCTAAAGATCCCATCGCCCTGTGCCGGGCAAGCTATTCATCACTCACTAGGATGAAAGCCTTCAGATTCTAAGCATCCCCTCGGTCTTATAATTAACGCCTGGGCACGAGCAGCAAACAGAGACCCGCCAGAGAGATCTCTCAGATTTACATAGGCACTTGTTGTCTGTTAAATAAATGACAATTAATAGAAAGAAACATTTAATTAAGGTTTAATAGTCTATTTGTCGCTTGTAGAACCTTTAAGACTTTTAGACGGCTTTTTATTGGTGATGTAGCAATTTCTTTAAAGGAATCTGTTTTGTCTGTTGTGCCGGTGTGTGTGTGTGTGTGTGTGTCTTGTGTGTCTGTGTCAGTCTGTATGGGTCTGTGTGGGTCTGTGTGTGTGTGTGTCTGTATGTGTGGGCATGTATATAGTGCACAGTTGGACACTGAGGCAATCTTTTCTATTTCCACAGTGCGTTCTGGGGGTTGAACTCAGGTCCTTGGGCTTTTGAGACAAGCTCTTTCACCCTCTGAATCATCTTGCTGGCCCCAGGGTCGCAGATTCTTACCCCAGCACCCTCTTGTCCCCTCGCAAGAATAGGTATACGTAAGTGGCACCTGCCCTTTCCCTGCAGACAGGCTTCCGGTGAAACCCAGGGCTCATGACAAGCAAGCGCCCCACAGTGGGCACAGTTAGCTCTGGGTGGAACCAGATGAAGCTGGCTTCCTGTACCCTGAGGAGTGAAGGAACCTCGGAGGCTCACCTGCCGCTTGTTCCTGGCTCATTTCTGGCCATTTCCCCCCACCCCCACCCAGACAAGGATGGTTGGCTGAACTTCAGAAAACCCCATTAGACCTTGTTCGGTTCGCCCTACTTGCCAAAGCTGCTTCCTTCTGAACAGCGCCTCGAAAACCATAATGACTATTGCATCTGGAGTAACAAGAGATAAATCATTATTAATATTCTCAGGAACAAACTGAAGTGCATAGCTGATGAAAAAAATGGAACATGCCTTAGCTCTCCCCCAGAACAAAATAAAACACACCTCGGGGGCTGGGGAGGTGGCTCAGTGGGTAAACTGCTTCCAGGCCTCTAACACACATATAAAAAGCCAGACATGGCCCGCCAGCCTGCCCAGCCAGTCTGTGAGCCCCGGGTTTGTTGAAAGACCTTGTCTCAAGATGGATGGAGATTGAGAAAGCACCTGATGTCAATCCCTGGCATCTACATACATGTGCGCAGGCTGGAACATGTATACACACACACACACACACACACACACACACACACACACACACACTATATTCATAGAATACAAAGCTCTTGTAACTCAAAGGAATACTTCTTTAGAAGTAGCACAGAGACCCTTCTAGAAGCTGTGCTTTCTGATATCCCGCACAAAGAAAACACAGGGGCACAGGTGCCCTCTCAGGCTGTGCTGACTATGACTGCTTCGGAGATGTGGCACCAGGGACCAGGCTGCCCTGTGGTCTTGGTTTTTAAAAGCAGAGGCTGAGCATCGAGCCCATGAGCCCAGGATACCTATTGCCCAATCTTCTTCCAAGCAGCAGGGGGCAGAATCTATCCCAGAATTTATCCATGAGATTGTTCTGCAGCTCCCAGCTTCCCTGTCTCTCTTCCTGTTTCTGTGGGTCCAGTCCCACCTCCTGCTAGGTGGTGGCCTTCTGCCTGGCCTGGACTTCTGGTTCTTCTCCATCTCAGGACCAAGGGGCTCCTGCACTGAGCCTCTGCAGCTGGAGAATCCATTCTTCACCATAGACTGGAAGTAGAGAGCAGCAGGACTGAGTGCTCAGGCAGGCTGGCAGGGAGACAGCAGTCCCCCATCTCTCTGTCCTCCCTGGCCTGAGACTGGGATGGTGTCCCTCCCTTGCTTGGATCCTCTTCTGCCCTCTGAAAGGAACCAGAACTGCGGTGACAATGGCAGATGCAGTGCAGGGCTATCAGTGACCCAGTCTCTCTCTCCTCTACCTGCTAACAGCTGCTCATGGTCCTGGAATAGATTCCTCCCTGTGTGGCTCCACAAGATCATTCCACAGGGACAGCCCCTGTGACCAGCGGTCCTGGGAGTGGGTTTTAGGTCAAGAAAGATCCATGTTGGTGACCCAGAATGGGGCAATGAGCCTTGTCTGTAGCACAAATAATAAAAACCCAGAGACAGATATTGGGGTTCAAGCTGAAGATCAGAAAAGCAAAGCAGCCAAGCCACTAGAGAGTTCTCACCTCTACCAAAGCTCAAACAAAGGGGCGGTCCTGTCCTCAGCGTGACTACAAACTGCAATGCTCTCCACCAAGCCTCAGACAACATTGAGATTCTGTCTCCTGCTTTATATTCCCCTCTCTGCCCAGCCATATCACTCCTGTCTCTACCTCCCTAGTGCTGGGATTAAAGACATGTAACTCCAGGGTGCTAGGTGGATGTGCCACCGCTGCCTGGCCTCTAGTAGCTTAGCTCTGCACTCTGATCTTCAGGCAGGCTTTATTTGTTGAAACACAAACAAAATATCACTTCATGTGTCTGTCTCTTAACTTCCTTCGGTGTTGGGTATCCACAAAGACACAAAACAGGAATCTAAGGGAGCCTGAACTGACCCCACTGGAGACCTGTATGCAGGGAAGGTCCTGTTGCCAGGGACGCGTCATAAATGCCTGTCTGAAAACCCCAATAAACAAACAATCATCAATGAGAATAGGGACATATAAGTAAGTCACCCATACTACACTGACCTAGGCCACTACTGCCAGTGTTAGATCACCAAGGCCAGCCTTTAGTGAACCCAAAAAATAAATGTATTTGTAGAAAGCTAGAACTAATAAATACCACTTTAACCTTTCTGTCTCTCTATCTCTCTCTGTCTCTCTATCTGTCTGTGTGTGTGTGCATGTGTGTGTGTGTGTGTGCGCGTGCGCGTGTGTGTTATTATTGCCCATGTGTTCCTGTGGGTATGTGCTTGTGTGGGGAGGCCAGAGGCCAATGTTGGATGTCCTCCTCCATCAATTTCTACCATATTTTTTGAGAGAGTCCCTCACTGACACCGAGGCTCACCAATTCTGCTAGACTGGCTGGCCAGCAAGACCCGGGGTCCTCCTGTGTCTGTCTCACAGCACAGGGATTGTAGATACACGTTGTCATGCCTAGCTTTTGTGTGGGTCCTGTAGATCCAAGCTCAGGTCTTCACAGTGCACAAAGGTACTTTGCCCACTGAGCCGCCTCCCTGGCCCCTTAACTCCTCTTAAGTGTGTGGTTCAGTGGCATTAATTATGTCAGACTATCCCCACTGAAACTCCCCCTGAACATCAGCATCCCTAATATCTGTATAGATGCACACTCCAGGCACACCCACCACATGCCCATTCAAGGCTCACTCGTGTTAGTGGCTTCACACCATAGTATTTTTAACTTCAAAAATGTTCAGATGAAAACAGGCACACAAGATGGCTCGTGCTCTCGACGTTAAATTCCGTCTTTGTTTGAAACCTTTTATCCCTTGATACCTGAATATGGGGTTGGGTACATAGCTGGAGGAGGACCCGCCAATGTGACCCGATGTCTCCTTCCTTTATGCAAGGTTGCCTGAGGTCCACAGTAGGTGGACAGCCCCACAGAGGCCTAGTGGGTCTTCAGCTTAGGCCTCACAAAGTCTCCAAATGGGAGTCTTTTGGAGATGGTAGGCAAGTTGGAGGGTATTCACGGAGCCTCTGTTGTCCACTCTGGGTCACGGCGGAGGGAGGAGCAGCGCCTTTAATTCTCTTCTCCGCCTCACTAGAGAAACAAGTCGAGGCTCTGGGCACAAGCATGGGTCATGAACTACCAGCCCTGCCCACAGCTCCAAGGCAAAGCCTGCACGTGCCTCCTGGAGACTTCAGTGTTCAGTGTGCACCGTCATTGAGATGGGAGGAAGGATGCCCCGCTGGAACCTTCTGGGAGAGCTGGGTCCCGTCACCACCCTGGCTGCAACTGTGAGGACACTTAAAAACCAGCTCGCAGGCCCTGGCCAGACAGCTCGTTCCAGGTCTCCAGAGGAGGCTCAGGGCATATGTTTCCAGAACGTTCTAAACACACTGTGATGGATCTTCTAGTCTGGCCATTTGCTTGGCCTGGTAACTGTGGAACAACGCCAGCATTTAAGTTGTGTCCTTCTGCCAGTTTCATCTGAGGATCACTGAGACCCTTGCTTTTTGATTTATGTTGTCTATAGGTGTGGAGGGACTTCCCTCCCTGAGGGTCTCGGTGGCCTGTAATTGTGTGGGGGCGGGGGGTTCAGTGAGGGCACTGAGTGGAGTGGAGGCCCACACACATCACCGCATAACTCAGACAGCACCCAACGGGATCACCCATGCCTGGCATTGCTGCACCCTCATGCCCAGACGCATGCCCATCCCTGGATTCTCTCTCGCTAGAAGGCTGTGTTTCCATGTACTGTCTGGGTAGCCTTTCCTGGACAGCCTGCTGGAGAATGTTGTGACCGCTGGCCTCCCTGGATTCCCTGTCTTTCCCTCTTGGAGAGACTCAGGCTGGCTTTGCTGATACGTCTGTCCTGAGACTTGGTCCTAGTGTGCCTCCAGCTACAGTCGATGGAAAGGGAGCCTGTGAGTTCCTTCCTGTATCACAGCTGTAGCAAGCAAAGCTCTTCCTCTGTGTGTTAGAGAGGGAGCAAGGAAGACTACGGTGAACATACTAGCCAATGACATGCATGGTTGGGATGCTGCTGTGTTCCATATGAGTTAATGGAGGAGACGGACCTGTCAGAGGTGAGGGGACAGCTCCACATCACCACCCTTGGCAGCTGGAGCACTCCTGAGTTCAACCCAGACCAAAGCAGAATTTATGGCCTTAGCATCGGAAAGGATTTCAGGACTGATGTCTTAAGCAGCGTTGGGAGTTTTGTTAGAGATGTTTTAATATAAGCTTAGGACTGAGGGTTAGCAGTAGAAGAGGTGCTCAGAAGAAGTTACGACACCCACAGGAGCATGGGTGTGGGCTTCCCAAAGAACGAGTCGTATTTCAGCTAAGGGTGACTGTAGATGGGCGGTCAGGAGCTCTTTGGAATTCTGTCTCTCAGTGTTTTTCTCAGACCCCACCCATTCTCTGCCTCTGTTTCTTTCTTTGGTAGTGAGGTGACAGATTGGCTCCGGAGGAAACAGGGAAGGCCTTAGCAGCTATAATTTGCTGGTGAGGGTCTTCACTCAGATGTCTGGGGGCGGGGCTCTTTTTCCTGCTCGTGCCCCCCAGATTTCCTGTATCTTTCTGTCCTGCCTCAGGCCCAGCCCTTCCTAGGAGGCCCTGAACACGGGACTGAAGCCCTTCCTCTTGACCCCACCAGTTCTTGGTAACCAGAGTGGGTGTGGGGGGCTTTGTATGGGCAGGAAGCCTTCTTGTGCCCCAGGGCATGGTGCTATTTCATCTCTTCTCTCCTTCCTCCACAGGATTCCGTTGGTGAACTTGTACAAACAAAACAACAAAACAAAAAAATTATAAAACCTAAAACTAAACTATCTAAGGGGAGGGTCCCGCACCTGCCACTTCTGTTTGCCAGTGGGAAACTCAGCAGAGCAGGACACCCAAGGCCAAATCTATTTTTGTAATATTGCTCGTGCCTAGGGGCGCTCCCTTCTCCCAGAGTTTTCTTCGGAGAGCAGAAAGAAACGCAAGAAGTGACTAGAGACAGCAGAGAAAGCCAAGCAGAAGGACAGGAGACAGCTCCCAACGCCTGGGACTCGCACCACGATTCTGAACCTGTGCCAATAATACCACTATGTGCCATGTAATGAGCCGGAAGCTCGGCCGGAGCCGAGCCCAGCGAACCACGCGGAGAAATCTTACAGAGGACAGGGGTGGGGGATCACTTCCGGTAGAGTCACTATTTCTGGTTAATATACATATATAAATATATAAATACCAACACGCAGACACACACACTTTTTTTGTACTGTAGCAATTTTTGAAGATCTTCAATGTTCCTTTTTAAAAAAACAAAACAAAACAAAGAATTGTGTTATAGTTACAAAACTTGATTTATTTACCATGCTTAGTATGAACAGAATAATCTCGTGTTTTGTACTTGGGCAACTCACATCACACGCTGCACACACACACACACACACACACACGCACCTGCACACACAAACACACAAGCATTTATACGCATATATTGGAGAAGCGGTTCTGCAGGTGGCCCAGTATTCCATCGCCATTCATCCAGGGAGACAGCCTCAACCCAGATGAGGAGGCCCGTACATGACATCCTTCATCTGCCAGATGCTCGCCGAACGGCACTCGGTGTGTGGCTTATCACCTTGGGCCAGAATTAAGAATGCTGTGGTTTGCTCTCTGTGTTCACACACATGATCCGTGCTGTTTCTTCCTTTAACTGTCTGAAGATGCTGACAGCCACACGCGTTCATGTAGCCGACTGCCAACGAGTGAGCCTGAGCACCAGGTTGGGTGGGTGGTGGATTCTCAAACATTTGTGTTATACAAGCATAGACTGAATTAAAGAGATTTTTCAGTTCTATAATTAAAGGAATATATCCATACACGGTGTGTGCTTATGTCCGGGCAGCACTCAGGAGCCCAGGAGGGATCAAAGCTCCATGGTCCTGTGTGTGCCCAGCCCAGGTGATCCCTGTGGACTATGCTCTGGTACGGCTGTCTCCTTCCATTGGTGCTGTGGTTTCCCTCGGGCCCAGGTGTGACCAGGAAGGTAGGGGAAACAGAGGACCTAGTGACATGTTTTCTCATGACAATGTTACTTTGGGGCTTCTGTCAGACCCCAGCCTCATAGTGTATCTCCAGTATATGCCCTGATTTGGAATAACTGTCATCCCCGTGGCAGGCGCCTCTCCACAGCCCATCTCAGCTAATCTCCTGTCCCCTAGGCTCCCTATCAGTAGCAGGAGCTGGGAGGAGCCTGTGGATCTGTTCTACACTCCTTGTGCATATGCGTGTCTTCCCTGTATTTTGTGTATCATGTGTGTGCAGTGGTCATGGATGCCAGAGAGGCGGCCAGATCCCCTGGCACTGGAGTTCAGGTGGCTGTGAGCTTCCCTGAGGGTGCTGGGAACCAAGCCTGCTTCTCTGGAGGAGCAGAGAACCCATGCCCTGAACCGCTGAGCCCACTTGTGACACCCTTAGCAGAGACTCAGACACTCAGGTGTCAGGGATCTTCTCCCGGGGATGTGTTCCCTCTGCACGACTCAGGTAGGATTCCAGGTCACCAGCGGGAGAACGAGGGAAAGAATGGAGAGGAAGTCTGCAGATGAGCTGAAAGGTTGGAGGCCAGACAGACAGGCTCTCTTGCCCTCGCTTGTGTCTAAGTGGCCAGTTTTGTCTCTTCCCAGGGACTCTGCGCCCTGGGGACAGTCTGACATGACATGTGCTTTTCAGAGTCAGCTTTCGTGTCCCGCTGGACCCTTGGGAGCAGAGCCTGACCGTGAAGGGAGGTGGTGTGTTCACAGTTCGGACACGGTGAGATCTGTATCCAGAACTTCGCTCAAAAGTTTAGAAGATGCTTCTTTTGGATTTTGTTTTTGTTTTGCACCCACCCTACCCCCAAACAAGACAGTGTTTTCGGCTGTAGCATGGCCGGGTTACAGCTCCAGGTCCCCAGGATTCCCCTCCATGCCTCGGAGATGAGTATCTTTCTCTGCACCTCCCGCTGTCCCCAAGCTCTCTCTTCAGAGGTGGGCTCTGAGGTTTCCTTGGTCCCGGTGAGCAGGGTAAGATGAGAGATAACATTACCGTTTGGCGGTAGGACCTGGTGGTCAAGTGTGAGAATTCCCTTCTGTCCTTCACCTCAGGAACTGAGTCTGCTAGCAGATACTGCCCTCCAAGGATGGGTTTGTCTGCTTGCTTCAGCTGCTTACCTTTACCAAGGTATGCAAGAAGGGTGACATCGGTGGTGATGTCCCTAAAGGTTGTACCCCTTTGGCTTCCAAGTCAGCAAGCCCTGTGCCGATTGCTAGTGCCCACTTGCTCCCTGCTACAGCTTTTGGTCTTGAAAGCCACCTCACTGCAAGGTCAGCTGAGCCCGTCTCCAGGCTTAGCCACTTCTACTCTCCACATCATTGGTCTCCATCTCCTGCAGCTCCAAGAGGCAAGCGGTTACTTTTGGTTTTAAATAGTGGGTGTGACGGATGAGATTTCTCAGCACAGCCAAGGAAGCCTCCAGACCTTCCTGAGGCAGGTCTGAGACAGACCTAGGCGTGTGATACCGCCCCACCCCAAAGGCTGCTTCCCTCACGTGGTGAGGACACGTAGACACCCAAGGCAGGCGGGGAAGCCTCTCTGCAGGAAAAGTAGAGATCCTGGGTGGGTTCCTCCCAGGGGTTTCTGGTCCTCTCTAATCTGGGTAGTCTTCAGTCACCTCTGACTCTTCAGTCATTCCTTACCAACTCTCTACACTTGGTCTTGGGAAGTTGCCTTAACTGTTAACATCAACCTTGCCTTCTTAATTCTCAAGCATCCCAAATATCTCCCAGCAACACTGTAGCCTCTGGCAGTACCCTTCCTGCGGGCAGCCATCTTCAGTGTCCATTTTTAGGCCACCTTGTGTGAACATGCCCAGCTCATCAGCTGAGGGACAGAGTATATCTGGCACAGTCTCTGTTTTGGCCTGCGGAATAAATGAAGTAGGAATACATACATAAACATATACATACATACATACATACATACATACATACATACATATACATACACATATATATACATACACATACATATATACATACGCACATACATATATATGCACATGCATATATGCATACATACGTACATGCATGCATACATATATACATACATGCATGTACGCATATACATACATACACACATCCATATATACATACATACGTACATGCATGCACACATACATATATATGTGCATGCATACATATATGCATACATGCATGCATACATTATATGTATGTATAAATATATATGTGTGTATACACATATATGTATATAGAGAGAGACAGAGACAGAAAGACAGAAGGACACACACATAGAGAGGAGAGACATGGAAAGAGGAAGAGAAAGAGACAGATGTGGGGAGATCATCGTTTCCCTTCTCCCAGGTGGTCTAGGATTTTCTGAAACTCTTGAAAGGCAAGATGGGGAGACAGAGCTGAGGTTAGATCATAACATCCACATTCAGACTGGAGGTCCCCTGTCATTCATCCCAGGCGGCACCAGCACCCATGTTTTCTTTGTCCTATCAGTTGCCCATCACCCTCTTATGAGAGCAAGCTTGATGCATGTGAGCCCCGGTGTGCCCATGGGCTCCAGTCAGAAAGGCATGGGGACTCCTGATGCCCGGCGCTGGTCTCGTGTCTGCCTGTAATTCCTTAGGATATCACTCACACAGAGGCGTGTGCTTCATCGTGGTTGGACGTCACTCATTAGTCCATCAGGCTTCTACCATGTTGGTTACAGGACTGGAAGTGAGAGGGATGTAGTCCTGTCCTTGTGTGTGGGTTGTATGGTCTGCTGTGGGTGTGCATAGTCAACACAGAAACACACACTGTAATCAACAAGTAGACAGATGGTGGAGGGGCCATGGAGCAGGGCGTTAGGAGCAAAGGGGAAAATGATGGGTGCTATGTCCTGGTCTTGTCCTTGACCTCCTTTTTCTCCTGGAGCCCATCTCTTGCTTACTGAGGGGTGGTTCCGGGTTCAGTGATACAGGAAAGCCTCTTACCTCTCAGATAGAAAGTCAGTGCAAAGCCAGGTATGAGAGGCTATGATCATTACAGAAGGCTCTGCCTGGCCCAGCACCCTCCCCCTGCTCATTCCAGTGAGGACAGAGTCGAAATACAGAACACAGGGTCAAGTCAGGGCTGTCATGGCAGGAAGCACACCCTGCTCGCTAAGCCCATCTCTAATCACTCCCTTTCTTCACGCTCAAACTGCTCTAGCAGGCCCGCCAGATTTAAGGAGGTTGGGCAAGGGACCTGAGATCGGAAACTCAGCCCCAGGCATCGGCGCACCATCCCTGCTGGTTCCAGAAAGCAGCCGTCTTCCCGGACTCCCCCGAAAGTCCACCCTTCTCACGCAGCATCTGTCTTTAAGTCGGCAGTTAATCACAAACACGCCGTGATTCATGTCTGCCGAGAGCGCTGGGTTTGGAGCCGTTGGCCGACTTGCTCTGTCAACAGCTTTTAGATTGTTTGTTTGTTTCCTGTGTAAACCGCGCAGCCCACATGAATGAACCAAACTCCTGGCGTCTTCCTTCTGTTTTGCATTATTCACTGCCTGTGTTGCCTGTGAGGAAGGCGGGCTCTTGCTTCTCTCTGAGCTGAGATCATATATGAGTCCTTAAGAGGTTTTCAGGGATCCTGAAGAATTCTAGAACACGCTACCAGGCTTCTAGGGCACAAGGCATAGGTGGTGTATGGTTTCTTGTCATTGGTGGGTGTGCAGCTCGGGTTCTGACGTCAGGAGGTGGTGGAGAAAGGAACTGTCATCTTTCCTGTCAACCTGCTTTCACACCAACCAAAAAACGGGCTGCTGTTGCCGCCCTCAAATGAGTCAGTTCGTAAGATCTCAGTTCATAAACATTCAGTGGCCCACCTGTAGAGCTCACCATGTGGCCAGAGATCCCCAGCTAGGGAATTCGCCTGTGCATCAATCTCCTGGAACTGATCTTGGCTTGCACTTTGCCAAAGGAGCGATCTCATGATCCCAAGGCAAAAATGAGAGATGACCAGCGAGGTGCAGATAAACTCACATCGCCTGCTTTGAGGATTGTTCACTCCAGTTGCCAGCTAAGACCCTGGGCTGTGCCAGCCTTGAAATGTTGTGTGCACTATTGTCCAGATGCAGAATGAGCCTGGAGCTAATGGGAGGTGTCTGGCCAGGTTCGCCATGGCTGTGGTGGGCAGCCAGGAAGAGGGCTGCTTCTCTGTGGATTGTCAACGACCAGATGGGGCTGCATGCTACCCCTGCAAACACACAGTCACAGTACCCCAATAGGACAGTCCATCCCAGGTTTTGACATGAATCAGAGTGGATCCTCATCATCTTCTCCTCTTGATGGATCCCCTCATGAACCCTCTGAGAGTGGCTGGACATTAAATCAAGAAAGTTGGTTTTGAGAAGACTCATCAATCCTGACCACATATGGTGCAGCCTGGACCAAAGGGAAGAAAACAGGACCAGCCTTGCACCTGCGGGACACTGGTGGTGAGGACGTTAAACTCACTGCTGAGAGTGGGGAAGGAGATACTGAACTGTGACTGGCTGTGCCGGGTCTCCATGTGTGGGTGAGAATCTGAACAATATGCCACAGATAATTTTCAATTTGCCAGGCTAATACACTAAGCCAAGGGAGTATTTTGTGCATCCCACGGGGCCAAATCTGATCTTGTCGCTCTCTTGTGTTCTGTGGTCTGACATCTGCCGGGTTATAGATGCAGACCATATGGCATCGAAGAGAGATCTCTTTCATAAAGGGTGATTAAGGTTTTTTTCTTTTTTGAAGGTAGGTTTTCTCTTAAAACAGAATCCCCCAGAGATCTG